AAAAGGAAGCAGAGCATAAAAGTTTGGAAAATGTGCAGGCCGATGATGCAGTAGAAAAGAAAATCCTATTTTCTGGGGAGAAATTCAAGCACGCTCCAGAAATTTGAAAAGTAACAAGGAACTGAGTGTTAATCACCAAGACAGTAGGGAAAATGTCTCCAGGGCATGTCAGAGACCTTGGGGCAGCCCCTCCTGTCTCAGGCCCAGAGGCCTAGGAGGAAAAAATGGTTTTCTGGGCCCAGGGCCTATCGGGGGAACCCATTCCCAATAGCCAACGTGGGTTTTCTTTCTATTTCTCTACGCATTGGCTGGTCTGAGAAATAAAGGGAAAGAGTACAAGAGAGAGAAATTTTAAAGCTGAGTGTCCAGGGGAGACATCACATGTTGGCAGGTTCTGTGATGTCCCCTGAGCTGTAAAATCAGCAAATTTTTATTAGCAATTTTCAAAAGGGGAGGGAGTGTACGAATAGGGTGTAGGTCACAGAGATCACATGCTTCACAAGGTAATAAAATATCACAAAGCAAATGGAGGCAGGGCGAGATCACAGGACTACAGGACGGGGTGAAATTAAAATTGCTAATGAAGTTTCGGGCACGCATTGTCATTGATAACATCTTATCGGGAGACAGGGTTTGAGAGCAGACTACTGGTCTGATCAAAATTTATTAGGTGGGAATTTCCTCATCCTAATAAGCCTGGGAGCGCTACAGGAGACTGGGGCTTATTACATCCCTTTGTCTTTGATAGTAAAAGACAGCTGCCCCTAAAGCGGCCATTTTAGATGCCTACCCTCAGGGGTGCATTCTCTTTCTCAGGGATGTTCCTTGCTGAGAAAAAGAATTCAGCAATATTTCTCCTATTTGCTTTTGAAAGAAGAGAAATATGCCTCTATTCCACCTGGCTCACCGGCAGTCAGAGTTTAAGGTTATCTCCCTTGTTCCCTGAACATTGCTGTTATCCTGTTCTTTTTTCAAGGTGCCCAGATTTCATATTGTTCATGCACACATGCTCTACAAACACTTCGTGCAGTTAACGCAATCTTCACAGGGTCCTGAGGCAACATACATCCTCCTCAGCTTATGAAGATGATGGGATTAAGAGATTAAAGACAAGCAGAGGAAATCACAAGGGTATTGATTGGGGAAGTGATAAGTGTCCATGAAATCTTCACAGTTTATGTTCAGAGACTGCAGTAAAGACAGGTGTAAGAAATTATAAAAGTAATAATTTGGGGAACTAATAAATGTCCATGAAATCTTTACAATTTATGTTCTTCTGCCATGACTTCAGCCAGTCCCTCCATTTGGGGTCCCTGACTTTCTGCAACAAGGGCCCCTCTGCTCTGTGAAGCCTCAGGACATGATGCCCTGCATCCCAGCTGCTTCAGCTCTAGCTGTGGCTAAAAGGGGCCAAGATACAGCTCACACCATTGCTTCAGAGGTGCAACTCCCAAGCCTTGGCAGCTTCCACATAGTGTTGAGCCTGTGGGTGCACAGAAGTCAACAATTGAGGTTTGGGAACCACTGCCTAGATTTCAGAGGATGTATGGAAATGCCTGGATGTCCAGGCAGAAGTTTGCTGCAAGGGCCAAGCTCTCATGGAGAACCTCTGCTAGAGCAGTGTAGAAGGGAAATGTAGTGTAGGAGCCCCCACACAGTGTCTCCACTGGGGTAATGCTTAGCGGAGGTGTGAGAAGAGGGCCACTGTCCTCTAGACTTCAGCATGGTAGATCCACTGACAACTTGCACCATGAGCCTGCAGAAGCCACAGACATTCAACGCCAGCCTGTAAAAGCAGCTAGGAGAAGGGCTGTACCCTGCAAAGCCACAGGGGCAGAGCTGCCCAAGGACATGGGAGCTCACCTCTTGCATCAGCGTGACCTGGATGTGAGACATGGAGTCAAAAAAGATCATTCTGGAACTTTAAGGTTTAATGACTGCCTTATTGGATTTTGGACTTGCATGGGGCCTGTAGCCCCTTAGTTTTGGCCAATGTCTCCCATTTGGAATGGGTGTATTTACCCAATGCCTGTATCCTCCTTGTATCTAGGAAGTAACTAACTTGCTTTTGATTTTACAGGCTCATAGGCAGAAGGGACATGCTTTGTCTCAGAGATTTTGGGCTTGGACTTTTGGGTTAATGCTGGAATGAGTTAAAACTTTGGGGACTATTGGAAAGGTATGATTGTGTTTTGAAATGTGAGGACATGAGACTTGATAGGGGTTGTGGTGGAATGATATGGTTTGGCTCTGTGTCCCCACCCAAAATCTCATCTTGGGTTGTAATCCCCATAATCCCCTTGTGTCAAGGGCTGGACCAGATGAAGGTAATCAAATCATGAGGGCAGTTTCCCCCATACTGTTCTCATGATAGTGAATGAGTCTCATAAGATCTGATGGTTTTATAAACATCTGGCATTTACATTGCTTGCACTCACTCTGTCCTGCTGCCCTGTGAAGAAGGTGCCCACTTCTTCACTTTCCTTTACAAATTATCCAGTCTTGGCCATTTCTTCATAGCAGTGTGAGAACAGACTAATACAATGACCAGGGGAGAAAGACAAAGTAGCATGGAGTATTTGAAGGTGTGTCATTAAACATAAGCACTCATGATTCAAAGAATGTGACATATGTTTTGTCTTCCAGAAGCTACATTTGGTGAAGGAGACAGACACATGAAAAACAGGTGATGAGTCTCATGTGATGAGGAAGGAAGGATTGGGTACTAGATGACCCCAGTAGAGATAAAATGGGAGTACAGGAGAGAAAGTATTTTTTTTTTATTCCTTAGAGAGCAGAATGCTAATAGATGGATCAAAGTTACAGGGGGCAGATTTTTACTCATTGTAAGAAAGGATTCTCTAATAATTTGTGATCCAGCATTAGAGGGCACACTTCTTGAAAATAACTGGGAGACTATCTTTGCTTTCCACTAATCAAAAAGATGCTGGATGCATTTATTAGAACCTGTACCAGGTGGGAGGTTGGATTCAGTGATCTCTAGCTTATCTTTAGCAATTCAAACTTTGTAAGACAATTTTCGATTGACCAAATAGCTTTCTTTCATTGGATTCATCCTATAGGAGGCCACAGGGTAGATTTCATGTTATTAAATGAAAATCATTGCCACTACCATCACAACAACAATAGAAAAATTAGAATATCTTATTGAAAAGGAAAGCCATTATTTCCATGGGCATTGCTATTCCCATTAAATAGTTCCTACTGTCTATGGGCAGAATGCATGATCCCAAATCAGGGTAAGAGATACAGAAAAAGTCCAAGAAAATGTAATTCCTGAGCAAATAGTGGACTCCATGACTTCTGAAAGGGGGGATGCTGGAATGCAGCTTGCATAGAAGGTGGCTGTGATAGGATTTACTCCAAAGTGCTAAGCTAAGATTTCCTTTGAGGCTGTTGCCTTTAAGCTGCATGACTCACCGGCAAAATTCACAAAACAAAAATATGATCACTGAGGATTATGCTGCCGTTGCTGGTAACATGCTGGCAATGATCGTAATAGGACTTGCCAAGCACACATTGACCCTCTGAGTCACATTGGTTCCCATGGAGATTAACACCATCAGCAATGGGGGCAACAGCCCAGAAGTGCGATTGGTGTTAGACAGAGAAGAGAAAAATGGCAGTATGATCCTCTAGAAATGCAGCAATTGGAATGAAAAAGGAGCATGGGCTGGCGTAGCTCAGGAGAGAAAATGACTTGTAATGGCACAGCAACCTACTTCTCTAGCTCTTCCTGCAAATGGCTGGAGAAAAAGTGTGCTTCCCGGCAGATAGACTACAATCTACTGTTATTTATCTGGCTATTTCCAGCAAGTTCTCTTCTTTTCCTAGATAGTTCATCTCTTCAAAGGAGTCTGTCCACGGTGAACTCACCATGGGCCAAGAGGTCCTGACTCTGGGACTACACATCTGATTAACATTTTGGGACTTAGGCGTGGGAAGGGCACAGTTTACTTAGATATATATCTTGGTTTAAATTTTCTTTCTGGATACAAATATCTTTCACTTCTTTAAAAAAAAAACCCCATTACTTCAATTTCACAATTTATGTAGTTATTTCATGTATTTTAATAGGGCAACTGGGTTTCTAATAATTGTAATCTATTTTTCCTTTGGAAGTTGTCATGGGAGCATGTGCTGGACTGATGCCCCACCCTCTCTTGTCCTTGGCAGCCAGGTCTACTTGTACACTTCTATGCAGGCTGCAGCAGCCTTGTGTATAAGTTCATTCCTCTGTTGCTTGAATTTCCAGTCCTGTCCCATACAGAGAGAGGAAAAAGTCTGAAGACACACACATTTCCCAAATTCAATATCATGAGTAGCTGAATCATGCCCAGCTCAGATGAATCAGGGTATGTAAGGTGAGCTGTACTTTTTCTTGTCTCTTTTGTATCTGCAGTTGTGGAAAATGCCTGTTAGTTGCTGAATGATCAAACAGATGTAAGAAGAATAACTGGTTCCTACCAAAATCAGATTAAATTGCCTCAAAAGTAACCAAGCTAAAATGACAACATGTCACCCCAGAAAAGAAGGAAAATAATGGCTTTCAAAGGAACGAGAAAGCACTTTTGGAGAAAATTAGAGTTAATAAGATATCTGAAGATGGAAAACATGCCATCATCCTTCCAAATGTTTGCTGTTGATGACTGTTCCATCTAGTGGGAGATGCCACTTGGCATAGAGAAAAATGCCCTGAGTTGTTCATAACCATGGTCTCACTTGTACCACTGACTGTTGGTGAGGTGTTGGGTACATGTTCCAAATTCACTGAGCCTTGGTTTACTCATCTGTGAAATAAGCACTTTTACACACACAGTCTCAGAGCACTGAACACTGTACCTGCAAGGGAGGACACTCAGTGTGAGGTAGAGAAGATGATGATGATGATGTTGAGGGTGACCACAATGATGATGGCAATGTGATGATGACACAACGAGCATCACATTAGTAAGGATTTTCTAGAGAAACAGAGCCAATAGAATGTCCTAAGATATGCAGTTGGCAAGCTGGAGACCGAAGAAGAGCCAATATTTCAGTTTGAGTCTGAAGGCAGGAAAAGACTGATGTCCCATCTCAAAGCAGTCAGGCAGAGGGAGTTTCCTCTTGTTCTTACTCAAGCAAGGGTGAGTCTCTGGGTTCTACTCAGTTTTTTGACCTATTGGATGAGGCCTGCCACATTTAGGAATGCAATCTGCTTCACTCAGTCTCTCAATTCAAACATTAATTTCATCCAGAAACACTCTTATGGACACACTTAGAATAATGTTTGACCAAGTATCTGAGAATTTCATGGCCCAGTAAGTCAACACATACAATTAACTACCACAATTATGATCATCAAGGGATCTTGCTCTTTAGTTCCAAATTTGGTGATTCTAAAAAGTGTACTTTTTTTTGTAAAGCAGTTTTCAAAAACTTGCTTTTTATAAAGGTTCTGCCTTATAGGAAGCTCAGAGTTTTGTATTCTTTTGCTTGGGGAAGCAATTTGAAAACAGAATCTTATGCTTTTGGAACATGCTTTTCAAAATCCTGTTTTCTGACCTCTGTCTTAATGACACCCAATCTCACTGTGCTACATTGTGTATATCGGAGAAGCAGCCTAGCCTAGTGCCTAAGAGCTCAAGAACATTGTTATATTCTTGCTCTGCCACATACCAGCTCGTGCAATTTTGGGCAAGGTATTGAACCTCTCTGTTTCAGTTTCCTCACCTGTAAAATGGGATGGAAATAGTACCTATCTTATAGGATTGCTGTGAGGATGACATATGTTAACACGTGTAAAGTACATAGACTAGCACCTACCTGGCACAGGGTACACACCCATTAACTATCAGATAATATATATCCTACTGAAAAATTAAAGATTTACAGTGGTACCACATTTCAATCCTTTTCATTTATAAATTAATCTGTTGTGAATCTTACCAAAGAATAGCTTTAATTGATGGTATTTTGTAGTTGTCAGCTCAGCTTCTGGATTTATTCTCGAGTCTTCCTTGAAAAGCGTGTGTGTGTGTGTGTGTGTGTGTGTGTGTGTGTGTAAAAAGCCTCTGCTAATGAACGTTGATGCAGTGCATCTGCCCACCAGATGGCGCAGTGCTCCTGCCATTCCGAGGCTCAGCGACCCTGAGGGAGGCAGGGAATTTTGATCAGCGTCTGAAGAATCACCTCATCTCTTCCTGCAGAAGCACAGAGCACAAGACTTCACATTATGTCAAGTACATGTCTCTAGTTCTTGCTTGTGATTTTGTAGGAACTTGTAGACTATAACATTTTTTGCAAGATATTTGTGTTATAGCAAAATGATTTATAAATTAAATAAATTAAAATGGTTATATATATGTATGTATGTATATATACACACACAGACATAAACATGTACACAGGTCTAACATAGGTTTTCTCTCTGCAGCATCTCTTGCAAAAGCCCAGCTCATAGAGAGCAGGAGCCTTCTCAGACTGTGTCAAATTATCTCGGGGATGGAGAGACTTACATGGCACTAAAAGAAATCAAATGGCAGAGCTCAGCTTTCTGGTAAGAGCAGGTCCTGGCTCCTTCCTTACATGAAGACCTGTCCAACACTGCTTGCTATCTCCTCCTGTGCCATCTGAAATCTGTGCCTCAAGCCGACCAGCAGCCTTCTAAATCTCTTTATTCTAAATTTGGCGCAACCTTCTTTCATCTGTGACTTTTGGAGTCTTCTGCTGCATTACCCCATGATCCAACTTCGAGTTGGGAGCCGTTTCACTGACTTACCGGCTCTCACCATAAAGAACCTTTTTTAGCCTCCAACGAGTCTGAACAACAGACCTTCTCCACACGGAAATGGTGAATTGATTGCACTGAAAACTATTCTGAAGTCAAGCAAGGCCAGCTTATGTCGCTCTCCTGCAGCAGAGAATGACTTTCACTTGCTCACTTTCACACTTGCAACTTTCCATTTTCCACAAACTGTCTCTGTGATCTGTTAGAAATATAAATTATATCATTTCACTCTTCTCCCCATAAAACTCTTCATAGATTGCACATTATTTATTCCTAGCATGTTTTGTACACTCATTTCAGAGTACTAATGGCATTTATAATACTATTACTCGTTTATGTATTTTATATCTTCTCACCTACAGTGTAGGCTCTAAGAGTGGGAGCTTTGTTGCTCTTGTTCTCCATTGTATCCCTTTGAGCTAATGCAAAGTTAAATACAGGAGACATTCAATAAATAATTATGGAATAGCACTGTTCTTTCAGTTGCCTGCCACTTTTCACGATTTAGAGCCCCCAAAGTCCATATCCAAAGAAAATTACAAAGTGACGATAATGAAAAAAAAAAGAATGATCATTTATTGAGCACATACTATACACCAGGCATTTCATGCACAATAACTCTATTTCTTGAATTTCCAAGTGTGCTATTATCATTTCAATTTTATAAATAAGAAAGTTAAGGTGAAGTAATTGACTGGAAGGTACATGGAGCTGGGATAAAACCCACATCTATTTGGTCTCAGAATTGTTACTTTTTCTATTATTCTAGGCTCTGTCTCTATCACACTCTCCTTACATTTCCCCCTGACTCTGAAGTTGTTATTAATGTTTACAACATGGGATATAGTGACATTAGATAAATGTAGCATATATCAGCATATTTTCTATCTTGACTCTAGACACAGATATATCAGAAAAAAGCTCTTTTTAAAAAATTAGTAAAGCAACTATGTCACTCTCAAAAAATCTTTCAAACTCTACAACAGCTTGTAGGCTGGTCTAGTGGCAAGCCCCTGGGGTCCAGAAGGAAGCTTTGGGCAGTGTAAAGCTTCAGATATATCCCTGACTTCGCCCTCGTTTCATCTGGGTTCTGGATATAGAGAAGATTGAATGTAAAACAAATCCAAATTTATTTATTTATTTATTTGTTTATTTTTTGAGACTGAGTTTCTCTCTTATTGCCCAGACTGGAGTGCAATGGTGAAACCTTGGCTCACTACAATCTTCGCCTCCCAAGTTCAAGCGATTCTTCTGCTTCAGCCTCCCAAGTAGCTGGGATTACAGGTGCCCACCACCACGCCTGGCTAATTTTTTTTTTTTAGTAGAGAAGGGGTTTCACCATGTTGACCTGGCTGGTCTCAAACTCCTGACCTCAGGTGATCCACCTGCCTTGGCCTCCCAAAGTGCTGGGATTACAGGCATGAGCCACTGCACCTGGCCAAATTGATGTTTTTGTTTTTGTTTTTTTCTTTTTCTTTCTTTTTTTTTTTTTTCAAGATGGAGTCTCACTGTGTTGCTCAGGCTGGAGTGCAGTGGCGTGACCTCAGCTCACTGCAACCTCTGCCTCCCCGGTTCAGGCTGTTCTCTTGCCTCAGCCTCCCGAGTAGCTGGGACTACAGGCACGTGCCGCCATGTCTGGCTAATTTTTGTATTTTTTTTTAGTACAGAAGGGGTTTCACCATGTTGACCTGGCTGGTCTCAAACTCCTGACCTTGTGATTTGCCCATTTCGGCCTCCTGAAGTGCTGGGATTACAAGAGTGAGCCACAGCTCCTGTCCTGATGTTTTCTTAAGAAATGAGAGACACCAAGGCACAAGCATTCCTGTTTTGATGACCTGTTGGAAAGGTACAAGTGCCCCAAGTGGAGAGAGTGACTTTCCTCCTACAATCTCTACTAGTACTTCAATAATGCAAAATGCAGGGGGAGCAGCACAGTAGCTGAAGAGCAACTAGAGGCCAGGAGGAAATGCAAGGGAGACTGCCAACAGTGATGATGCCCAGCCTATGTGGCAGCACGCAATGAAAGTCTAGTGCCCAGCAAAGGTGGCAGTACTGGGCAGATACAGAAGCTGCCAGCAGATCTGGCAGCTGTCTCTTCAGGATCCATGCCTAGCAGAAGGAACAGTGATATCTGGCAGATGCAAGAGGCATCTGACCAATGGGCTTTGTACATGTGCAATCTCTTGGTATATGTTTCAGTGAGCTGATTTTCCATTTGGTCTCATGTACCTTTCTTTTATCTTTGCTGTGATTTCTTCGATTTATTTACATTTTTATATATAACTGCATTCATTCTTGCTGGTTGATTCAAATCTTTGGAAGTGGAGTGGAGTGAGCGAGTTTGGAGTTACTTCCCCTCTGAGAGGCATGGAGATAGCCTTGGAGACCCAGAGGCAAATATGGAGAGATTTTGTCAGGGCTGGGTTCTGTATTAACTGATGATGGTGGGATGCTTACTGAGGATGTAACACAGTTTGCACTCACAGACTGGTTAAGCTTGTTTTAGGGCACACATAATACTTCTACCTTATCAGATAGTTGTGAGGACTGAATAAGACCACATACATGAAGTGTTTGCTCAGTGCCTGGCATACCATAGGTGATCAAAAGGGCTAATCTCCTTCCCCTTCCTTATTGTATTCTCTTGTAATTGTAGACTTCCTTAATGCATTGTACCATTGCAACATTCCTATCTAAAAGGTACTTTTAAGAAGGAGCATAATTATTTGAATAGCCCATTAAGAACACTAAAATAGAAATCCACCTGTATATTTTCTACACTAGAATAAACCGGAATAATACTAATGCAGAATCTTTGTGCCAGGCACTGAGCTCTTTACATACATAAAGTACTTAATCCTATTAGGTGTGCACTTTTACTATCTTCGTTTTATAGATGAGGAATACATGTGCCAAAAGGTTAGGTAACTTTTCCAAGGTCACACAGTTGGCAAGTGGCAGAGCTAGAATTCACATCCAGGCAGGGACACACATGCATAACCCCTGTGTTTACTGCAGAGGTATGTTTAGGTAATAAAGCAAATATTGACTGCTTTCTATAAGGAAGATACTATGTGGCATGCTGCAAACTGCATTGCTAAGCCCCAGAGGGGCATCACTCACCATAGTCTAGTTAAATGCAGTGCACAGGTTGCACAGCTGTACACAGCAACTCTAGAGTACACCAAGATGTGACCCTTTGCCTGAAGTAGGTCACTCTGTAAAGCTCCCATTATAGAGAGCAAAACATGTAGGAGCAGAGAGGACCGAAAGATTAATTTTGAGTCTTTTATCTATTTAAAAAGCACAGAGTTATGGGATAAGTTTGTAGGTAAATAGTTTCAGACTCATAGATTTCCCTTTATGGGTGTCAGCAGGAGACATGTCTCTAAGAGTTTAGTGCCTGGAAGCATTGCTTTCTTGGGAAACAGGTATTATTTTATTTTATGGAGAATGTGTCTCCTGTAATAGATTAAATAATATTTTTTGGATGCATAGAAACTCAGAACCACATTAAGATTCCTATTTTTATAACTGTGTGCAATCTCTTCGCATATGTTTCAGTGAGCTGATTTTCCATTTGGTCTCACGTACCTTTCTTTTATCTTTGCTGTGATTTCTTTGACCTATTTACATTTTTATATATAACTGCATTCATTCTTGCTGGTTGATTCAAATCCTTGAAAGTGGAGTGGAGTGAATGAGTTTGGAGTTACATCCCCTCCGAGAGGTATCAAGTAGGCTCTTGTGTACGGAATGACCAGGTACAACAAATTGTGCACCAGTCAGTGTTTGATGTAAATGTTTCCTGGCTATTTTGGAAGGAAGAATATTTTTTCTGCTCTTTGTAGGGAAAGTGTTATTGTTCTTGTGGTTGATTGATTGGTTGTATGACGACAATCCAGCTGTAAAGACCATCACTTTGACACATTTAATATTACTTTTGGTCCACTGAGGGCTGGCTTGGTTTTGAAAACAAAGAGCTGAAAGGGAAAGTCTACTTTTGATTGGGCAGCCATGGAAGTTTTTTACAACAAGAAAGCAGGTGGTACTATTGGAGTAAAGATCAAGACAGCAGCATACAATTCCCCCAGGTCTAGTCTGTTCTCTTTATGTGCCATGAGATACCACATTTAACATCTGCCAGGCTTGGGACTTGGTATCTATTTCCACTGGAGAGGAAAGAAAAATACAGAAAAATGTTCCAGGAGATTTCCATTTTGCTTAGTCTTTATTACAACCTCAAAAGATAATCATTTCTAATATTTTAGTCAATAATAGAGATGGTAAAGCTTCGGTGCGATTAAGGAAGGTGCCCAAGGTCACAGAAAAGTTGGAATTAGAAATCGGATAGGTATGACCTCAAACAGGATCAGCAAGCTCCTATTAACACGCAGTATAGTACTTGCCTTATAGCAAAACAAAATCATTTTCCACAACATCTTTGCTTATTGAAGCTATGAACAAAGAGGGGAATCACAGTACTTTTCGGGAGAAAAGGTACCTCTGTAGTCCTGTCTGCTGGTGAAATTCGTGTACAAAAAGACATCAAATCTCCTTGAATCCTGAACTGCTTGTCAGTCTCCAAAGGGTCTTTGAGGTGGCTTGTATATTGATTGACTGAAGTTGCACGTATGGTATGTTGTTGTCAAAAGGCAAAGTACCAACAGGCCACAGCTGCCATTAGTGCTGCCAGAGGACAGCCTATTCAGACAAGGAAAATAATCCATTGCTTGTCGCAGAGGAAAATGCCTTTGTTCTGTGCTGCCTTCTTCTGACTGGGTTAGGAAGCTATCAGTCCAGAAGATAATATAACGTGACTTTGTTTTTCTGATTTGGTGTTATTATTTCAGTCATTTAGGGTATTGTACATTTAAAAAAATCCACAGTGTTCAAAAAGTATATAGTTTTATTTTCTAAAGATGAATCACAGATACTGCTATTCCTCTGAGAAAGCAGAGGGCTTAACTGCTATCATTGACCTTGGCCTTTCAGAATCCTCTGTGGCCATTGTGGAGAAAAGAGAGCCAGCATCATCCGTTCTAGATTAGAATAGTGTCTGCAAGTCTTAGAGGGCACCTTGATGCTTTGGCGGTCTCAATTCGCCACATGGGGTGAGAAAAACCTCTGTATGTCATGGGGACAGGGACTAGATAAACAATGCAAACAGTGTGTTTACAGATATGCAAAGAAGCATGCAAATTAGACTCCTGTCGGCTTCATTTAGAATGTAATTTAAAATTAATTAAAAATTAAGAGGTAAATTAGACGCTAACATTCAACACCATATGGGAAAATATACATATTTATCAGAATGGCATATATGTATACTGCACGGGTGGGAGCTAATTGTGATGTGTGCAAAACTCCTCCATTTTGATATTGCATAAAATCAATGTGGGGAAGCCCAATATGTTGCAAGAATTATTTTTTTAGCACTCTATGAATTAAAATTCACTCTAATTTAAGGATTAAATGAATATATTTTATGTATATTAAATTCTCTGCAAACTTACACTAGCAGACATAGAGTTTCACAATTGGAAAGTGAAATGATAAATCAGGTACAGTTTACCTCCATATGCTATAAAATATTTGTGAAACTCATTTTTCTCAAATGGGGTCATTGAGCACATTCACCCTGGCAGGCCTTTTGCATATTGTTAATATGCGATCTATACTTGGAAAGTAATGATTTCCCTCTCTCAGCCACTGAGGAGTTCTGGGTGATTAATGAGTTAATGGCTGCATCCACACAAGGCCAAAACAACTCATTGAAAAGTGAAAAATTCAATCACTCCTCTGACTGTTTTGTCTACAAAGCAACCAAACTACCTCTGTGATTGATTTTCTTTTCACTGAATTGATTGCTATTTTTTGGCAACTTTGTTGAATTAACCAATTGTTTGATCCAACCAGAGTGCAGACCTTCTGTGAAGGTAGCAAAACATTTTCATGCTAACCTTTCTCCCATCCCTGAAGATACACATTAGCAAGTAATCAACATATATATGCAGTACCTGTGTAAGAAAATTAGAATTATTCCATACTTTCACTATCTTGTATGAAATATTTAATTTTATTCAGATGGACATAGTTCTTTTAAAATAATGACAAGTAATGCAAAGGATCTTTTCTCATTTGATTTCAAAATCTTCAGAGACAGGCTCTGAAATAAACCCAAATAAAGTGACCACAGAGTAGGCGTATTATAGAGACAAAGGAAAACCAGCAACAATAATGAGACAAAAATAAAACCAAACACCTGAAAAGACTGAAAGAGGTTTCAGAAAACAATGCAATGAATGAGCAAATTAGGAATTTTGAAACACATTCTGAGAGCTAGAATGGCCAGTGTTAAAATTAGGAAATAGGTGTGGGAAGTAAATAAAAGATTTAAGAAAAAATGTGTGTTCTTGGCTGATATATAGATGTACATACTGCCCTAATATAATTGAACACTCTGGACAAAAATAGCTTCTTGTGTTCATTTACCTCTGTTAAATTTGATTGCTTTATTTTTAATAATGCTGGCACGCTCTGGCTAATGTGATGAAAAATATTATTATTTAAAATGTTGGAGTAGAGAGCAGGTTAAAGCACACCTGTTAAAGAGTCAATTAAAATTTGGAAAGGAAAGAAAGCAAGCTATATTGTTAGAAGCTTTGCTTTTAATTCATCCTAATTTGGTGGTACAGCAGGTGTACAAAGAGGAGAGGAAAGTTCTCACTATTGTTTGCCTCAATTGAAAACAAAGAGTCGTGTTTAAAAAGGATAGAAATTTATTGAAACAAATGGTATTAGAGTAGAAATGAGTTCTGCCATCACTTACTTCAAATCTTCTTAATTTATAGATGAGTCTTCTGAGGTTCAGAAGAGTGAGATGACACCTTCAAGGTCACGTGGCTTATTTGTGTTGGAGTCAGAGGTTTCCAGATTTCTTGACTTTTAGTCCAAGGAGCAGTCCCTGTGCATGTGTCAGAGATGAACAAGCCAGGTAAAAATTTTAAAAGCTGAGAGAAAAAAGTATGAATTCATTTCAAGAATTGCATTTGAATAGAGACTGCAGTAGCCAGAGGTTCTGATACTAAGACCTAAGAAAGTTGAGCCCAGGTGGGAGTCCCCTTTTTGAGTTGCAAAATTGTGTATAAAAGGGGCTCCCAGGTTCCAGGAGAGCAGATGGTCCTGGAGAAGGTCTTCCTGGCTGATGTAAGAAGTGACACAGAGGAATAAAGAGGGGAAGGATGAGATGAGCTTCTGAGTTTGGAAACTGCATTGATGTTGAAGATGGTCTCAAAGTTGTGTAAGCAAATTTCCATTTTTTTGAGAAAAAAGAATTATAGTAGAGGAATTTTTAAAAAGCTAGCGCTACAAGTACTATAGTGCTGAGGGTAAAGGTGAAGGCAGAGAAGAATTGAGCTCAGGTGAAGCCAGGTGATGTGGGAAACCGCAGACTGGGAATGGTTATGGTTGAATTTGTGATAGACAGAAGAGGAAAGGTCAGATGTGCATTTGACTAAATGCCTTTTGACAAAGCATCCATATAACTCTGATGCTTCTCTTAGGAAAATTGACAGCTTGTCACTAGGCATTGCAATTCCATTGTGGCATGATGCATTCATATTCAGGAGACACAACAGAGGTGTTTGCCTACCATCAGCCTGAACCAATGGCAAATAAAACAAGGCAGGCATAGTTTTATTTAAAAGGAAGAGCTGCTTTTAATTAGAGAATTGAAAGAATAATATTTTTCATCAGAGAATTTTCACAAGATCACAACATGGCTTATATATTGACAGGATAAAGAATCATTTAGTAAAGGCACAGTCAGCTGGGGAGGGGGCTAAAGATGGGTGCTGGTTTAGCACTTCAGTTGAGCTTTCTGTTCCAAAAAAGAGTGGGAAGACGTAGGACAGAAGAGAGAAAGAAGTGAGGTGGTCAGTGTGTATTTTTCCTGTTCTGTTTTTTGCCTGAGGATAGGGAGTAGGAAGACATATAAGATATCCAGTGAAGATAATGGGTTTTTGTTTTGAGATTCTGGGAGGGGCCAACACTAACCATCATGGGATAGGCCCACATAGTTAAGAAGGGAGAGCAGTTGGTTGGAGAAGGAGAGAATCTAGCTGGCACACTGAGGGTCTCTGGTTTCCTCTTAATGGGGATGCCTAGTCAAAAACCAACAGGTCTGATGTTGCAGCTGCGGGACACCTAAGCCCGCTTCCTCCTCCACCCACCCCCACACTCACTGCCATCATCGTGAGAGAAGCAGGGTAAGAGGAAGACTGTTCGAAAGAGCATTTTATTCAAGAGAGACTGGGTATTCCCTAAAGCGGCTGTTTAAATTATTGGATCAAGCTAAAGTTAAACCAGGTTAGACATTTAGTTAATTTATTTTTCTCTAACCAGCAGGTGGAAGTTCACAGAAAGACAAGATTATAGACAAAATAAAGGCAGTACATTTTCTCTGATAAAAAGTCTCTTAACATTTTCATATCCTGTTGGTTTTCCAGGAAACATAGAAATACTCTGTAAGAAATAATCTCAAAATTGATGTGATGGATTAAAGATGAAAAAACATGCCTTGGAATACCTCATGGGAACATTAGTCTATGTCTACACCCAGATCAACGTGACTGAATATAACTTTCTTCAAAAAGCAGTTGAATTTAACAAGGCAATTATTTTATTGCTCAATAAGACTTAATATTTGGATTGATTGAGTTTCCTTTGCTTTTTATTTTGGAGTCTATGTTCATAGCCTCAATACAAGAGTGGAAATTTTCACACAGAAACAATAGTAATCTGAAAAAGAGCCAGATACAAGACATTATTTTATTTGGAAATATTCAAGGGAGTGTTTAAGCAAGGGATGTCTTGTGATAGAGACGAGTACAGTCTAACTTGACAAATGTTGACAGTGCCCCATTAAGTGTGGGCCCTTGATAGGCACTGAGAGCCAGAGGCCATGACGGATGGAGGGGAGCACCCTGAGGAAACAGAAGTCATGGAGAATAACTCTGACTGAGGAAGTCAGGAGGCCTTCACAGAGGAGGAGACCTTTGAGCTGGGCCTTGAAGAAATACTATGATTTACATAGGGGGAGATTTTTCACAGGAAGGGCATTTGAGCTGAAGAAATATGGACAAAGGAATATACATGAATCAGTGCCCTTTGGGCTTAGAGTCAGCCCAACAGTCTGATGTACCTGGAATGTAGGATGGGTATAAGGTGGCGTAGGGGAGGGGTGGTCAGGAAATGAAATTAGAAAGAATGGTTGGGGCTGAGGAATAGAGGGACTCAAATGGCTTGTCATTTAAAAACAACTCTTTGGCTGGGCGTGGTGTCTCATGCCTGTAATACCAGCACTTTGGGAGGCTGAGGAGGGTGGATCAGGAGGTCAGGGGTTTGAGACCAGGCTGACCAACATGATGAAACCTCATCTCTACTAAAAATACAAAAATTAGCTGGACGTGATGGCATGCACCTGTAATCCCAGCTACTCAGGAGGCTGAGGCAAGACAATCACTTGAATCCGGGCGGCGGATGTTGCAGTGAGCTGAGATCATGCCATTGCACTCCAGCCTCGGTAACAGAGCAAGACTCTGTCTCAGAAAACAAAACAAAACAAAATAAAAAACTCTTTGTCCGGGGGGATTTAGAAAGAAGGCCAGCACAACCCACTTCATCTGACACTGCCTGGACTTGGGAGATGCTGGTGTCTCTGTGACTGGGGCCAAATGCAAAGATTCAGAGCCTGTGATTCTTGTTCTGGGGTCTGCAGTGTAGAATAAGTAGCCCCAGGTTTGTGTTGCTTGTGTGACTGTTTTGATGGAATCCATTGCCTTGGACTGACTGGATCTCCTATGCGTTATCAAATTTGCCCAGGAGACGCCTGTGAGTTGCCACTCAGGGACCATGGACAGCAGCCATTGGCTGGCGGATCAAAGGAAACAGAGGAAGACTCAGTAAAGAGAAATGCAGTCACCAACACGCCCTCCAATGCCCATATTGGATAGAGGTGGCAAAACCTCAAAATAACCATAAACCCTGTTTTATGCATGAGGTTCACAAAAAGCAACAAACTCTTGCGGGTATATTGCAAAATCTCTCTGAGGGCGGGTGTATTTAATTTGTTATTTGAGTGTAGCACCTGTGTTGGTTCATTCTTACACAAATTCCTGAGGTAATTAGTTTCACAGAATATTGCCAGGTTGGCACATCTCCCCTGCTCCCATCACTTTTGGGAATATTGGAACTAGAAGACAGGTATTCTTATCGCAGAGTTATATTAATAAATTTAATTAACATAAAACAACATTAATTCAGTGGCCGGCACCTGAGGCTGGAGAGCTCCCCCTTCTTCCACACCACCAAATTGCTGATCTTGTGAGGGTCTGCCAGCTAGCAGTTTTTTTAAAGTCAGAGTTATTGAGGTACAATTTACATCTAATAAAATTCCCTTGTTTAGGAGTACAGTTCCAAGAATGTTGACAAATATATAGAGTTGTGTGATCACCACAGTAAGGACAAAGACTATTTTCATTATCCAAAAAGCCCCTCATGCTCTTTTACAGTCCATCCCCTCCACTCCCGTCAGCTCCTGGAAGCCACTGATTCCTGTCAGCATAGTTTTGCCTTTTCCTTAATGTCATATGAATGAAAGCATGCCATATGCAGTCTTTTGATTGTGGTTTCTTCCACTAGGCATAATCTGCTTTTTGGATTCATTCATGTTGTGGAATGGATCGTTTTGTTTCTTTTTATTGTTAAGTAGTTTCCCATTGTACAACACAATGTGCTTGGGTTTGTTTATTCACTTGCCATTTGACAAACTTTTGGCTTGTTTCCAGTATCTGGTGATTAGGATTAAAGTTGCTCTAAAAATTCACCTACAGGCTTTTATGTGTACATATGTGTCAAATTCTCTCGATGACCTAGAAGTCGGTCATATGAAAAACGGTATGCTTAATTTAATAAAAACTTTCCAATTCTTTCTGAAAGCGGCTGCACCACTTTGTACTTGTACTAGCAATGTATAAGAGTTCCACTTGTTCCTCATTTTCACCATTGCTTTTTATTTTCAACATTTTTTGTTTGTTTGAGGCAGAGTCTTGCTCTGTCACCCATGCTGGACTGCTGTGGGCCATTTCAGCTCACTGCAAGCTCCGCCTCCCAGGTTCACACCATTCTTCTGCCTCAGCCTCCTGAGTAGCTGGGACTACAAGCACCCACCACCACGCCTGGCTAATTTTTTGTATTTTTAGTAGAGATGGGGTTTCACTGTGTTAGCCAGCATGGTCTCGATCTTCTGACCGCGTGATCAGACTCCCAAAGTGCTAGGATTATAGGTGTGAGCCACCATGCCTGGCCTCAACATTTTTTATGTTATCCATGCTAACAGGTGTATAGTGGAATCTCATTGTGGATTTAATTTGTATTTCCCTAATGAGAAATGATGTTGGGCATATTTTCATGTGCTTATTTGGCATTCACATTTTTTCTATGGTGAGACATCTGTTGCATTGGTGAAAAAATAGGCATGTAGATTAATGGAACAGAAGAGAGTCCAGAAATAGTCTACTCATATATGGACAATTGATTTCCTACAAGGTACCATAGTAGTTCAATAAAGAAAGGATAGTTTTCTCAACAAGTGTTGTGGAGAGCATTGGACATTGGTCTAAAAGAATGAACCCAGACCTATACTTAACACCATATACAAAAAATTAACCCAAAATGTTTTATAGACCAAAAGGTAAAACCTAAAACTGTAAAAATTTGAGAAGAAAACTCAAGAGAACATGTTTGTAATGGTGGGTTAAACAAAGCATTCGTAGATAGGACGTAAGCAGCATGGACCCTAAACAAGAAAAATTGGTGAATTAGACTTCCACAAACTTAGGAACTCTGACACTTTGAAAGACACTGTCAGGAAAATGAAAAGACAAACCACAGACTGGGAAAATATATTTGTGAAATACATATCTTACCAGGACT